TTAACTATACTTAAGTTAAAAATAAATGATTTTATACCATACTCAAGTAACATTTCTTTAAAATTTCCATCATATTAAGTATAATATTAATATCTTTTATATATATTATACCTGACTTAATTGTCCGTAGACTCTAGACAAATTAGAAAAAAAGAAGATATATAAATAAATAGGTAATTATGAATTCGAATGGGTTTTCGAGTTTCGAGTTTCTCATTTCTTTCTGGAATTCCTCAATAATTAATCTCAGCTTGTCAATAAGCAAATTTGTTGTAGTTTCAAAATATTTGGGGGCTACAAATATTTATTTATAGTTTAATTTATAAAAATCTTTATTTTCCATGGATATTCGTTGACGCACAGTGCGATTCACGATATTATAGAATATATAATGTTATCTAAGTATTTCATGAATAATATATAAATTTTGCCTAATATTAAGAAATCTAAAATTTATACATGGTATATTCATAAATTTTTAATAACATTTTTTCCGAATTCCTTAAATATTTGCCTTAAATTCATTTAAGAATTCAATAAAGTTTGCCGCAAGCTCAAAATGTTCTTTCGACAAAAATTTGTTGGGAAAATGTTTTGTTTTTATCGGAAGCTGGCAGTGGAATATAATCAAGTTTTTGGTCATAAATGTTAATTACACAAACACTAAGCGTACACATAAGCACACACACACACATACACGCACATATACACACATTGACTGTTGAAAGCCTGTTCAGCTACAGATACAAAGATACGACATGTTTGGCCAACAAAGACAATGTAGACAGACAGGCTGACGGACTGCCGGACGGACAGATAGACGGACCGACAGCTTTTCAGATGGGCAGATAGAGTATGGCCAGACAGACAAAGGAGCAACTGGCAGTGCGTGAGGCCAGTTTACAAACAATTAAAATGGCAAAATCAAAATCGAAATACACAAATTTATGCGTCTAGCTGCCAAAGCCATTTTACAATACTTGCGCCTGGCACAATACCGAAAATAAATTGCACAATTTTCGAAAGGAGGAAGAGAAGAGAGAGAGAGAGAGAGAGAGAGAGAGGGGGGCGGGAGGACAACTAATGAAATAATGGGCCAGCTGAATTAAATTATGGCCCAACAATTCCCTCGAGTGGCCCGAGCGCCCGACTCCGATTTGGCACAATAACTAAATTTGCACCAAGGTAAAGGAAACGTAAATTTTGATTGCATTGTTACCGTTTGATTTCCACCACCACCAACAGCCACCCTCGGCGCATCCAGTCACCCACAGTGATCCGCATTCGACCCCAGCTCTCAAACACTCATTGACTATTCACACTCGTGTTTTTCATATACCACTATATATACATTTATATCTGTGTGTTTGTGTATGTGTGTGTGTGTGTTGTGTGTGTGTGCTTGGGTGTCGCATTATTATAATATTTTATTTTCTTGTTATGCCGCTTTGCTATATAGAATTTTTATTATTTGCTCGTTTACGGCTTTAGCTCTTCTCTTTATCGTTTTTAGCTTCACATTTTGCCACTTTCTCTCTCTCTCTCTCATTCTCTCTCTCTCGTTTCTCGTTCATCGTTTCTTGTATAGTGCGAAATTATAACAAAACGCATTGAATTTGCTTTTATTGTTGTCAGCTCTGTCCGCACACCCACCCTCACCATTAGCCTCTCACCCTCGCCCTCACCCTCGCTCTCGTTATTCTAACACCCCTCTCTCCACTCTTCCGTTCGTGTGCAATGCAGCAGAAGCAGGCTTCTGTTTCATCCTCCTCTCGCTGTGTCGCATCGTCTGCCGTCTTATCGTTTCCCGTTTTGAGTGCACAACGCAGACGCCATCGCCGCAGTCGCTGCGGTTGCCGCCTAGCGGGTGGCTTTGCCCAGCACAGTGGTAACCGTCCGATTGAAAAATGTTTGCGAATTGCCATATATATATGCAATATATTTATATTAAAATAAAAATTGTGTTTTTATTTTTATTTATTATTTATAAATATTTTTTTTTTGTAATTTACAATCTATTATTATTATAATATCTATTATTATTATAATAATATAAATATTTATTATACTTACAATTGACGATTTGAATATATTATTACTTGATATTACTATGATATGCATATGTATATAAAATAGTACAAGAAATCAGAATCTTTATCACTCTTTTTGATTATTTATGCATTTTATATTATGAGCCCCTAATTTTCTAGTAATTTAATAGTTTAGTTAATGTGTATTTTAAAAGTTTACTTAATAGTTTTATATACAAGAATAAACCAATAATTGAGTGTGTGTTTAATATTGCCATTTCATTCGACTATCTGTCTGTATATTTTTATAAAATAAATTATTTTTTGTATAGCTTATGTTATATTATTGAAACATTTTTAAATTTGTTCTCAAGTTTATTAATTATTGTTTGTATTTATATTATTAAAAGAGGGGCTTAAATAGTAAAAGCTAAACATTTAGTTCAATAACCTAGGGCACGCTGCAGGGGCACTATAAATTTCATTTCTGATGTCTGTCTGCTTTTTTTTTAAATTTATATTCCTCTATTTAATATTAACAGTAATAATATTAATAATATATCTGAAAGCATATCCGTTTCTACATTTCGCTCATCCTATTCCACTGTGCATGTATGGTTGCTTTTTTCTTGCCACCTTCTCATCGTGGCAAGCAGGTTGCTGGCAGGAGCAACAAATTTGGTTTAGGACCCTTAAAAATGAAAATGGGCTCAGTCGCTGCTACTGCTGCTGCTGCAGCCACGGCTTGTTGAGCGTCTGAAAAAACATCGAAGGCTCATTCCAGTGAACCAACTCCGCCCATTGCCCGGCACTTAGCTGACAATGAGCAGTGACAGCTCCGGGGACAATGACGGGTCGTGTCGGGTCGGTTTGGGGTTTGAATAGTATGGGGGAGCGTACGCTCTTCGAGAGCCGCTTGCGGTTTCATCACAGACTCCGGCGGGCTGGCCGTCTGCACGTCTGCTGCATCTGTCGCATGCCGGAACTAAACAACAACTGTGGCACCCGGGAGACCGAGAGAACGGGGAGAGAGAGAGAACGAGAGCCACCACCACAGCTAAACGCATGCTGGACTAGCAGCCAGAGGCAGAGCTAGACCCCGGGCTCCGGCCGGGGTTCGATCCCGATAATGATGCGTACGCGTTGGCGATTATGATGGGTTTGATAGAGACGACAACTACTCGACTTGACATGCATGATTTAGTACGTTGTTACAACCCGCCTCGACCTCATCCCCCCACCCACGTCAAC